TKTTTTTYYYKTGTACTTTTCGTATTTTTGATTTTGCTTTTACAAAACATCTAAAAATGAAGAGAAAATTTCTGGAAAAAGGGTGACATTGCTGTCTTTTGTGTATAAACTCAGTYGTTTTTGATTGATTTTAAGGGCTTTTCTCAAAATMTTGTCTTTAGCTTKCAACTGTGTTTGTCATCATTTRTTYAGCATTAATGCWCGTTTTATGATTGGTYAAYGACTAGCGGTCAATTTTCCATATAATGAAGTTAGTGTGCAAAGGTTTTTAATTCATAACTGAAAATATACTCGTGGTTGGACAAGATCTTTATTAAACTTTGAACAACGAGTGCCTTGAATTATTCTAAAAACGGGTACTAAACAATTTTCATGAGGGGATGATGTTACTGACGARTTAATTATGTTCTTAGATATGGAGCATGTATTTTCACTTTTCCTTTTATTCTTGTTTAATTGGGCGCCATCTTGAATGCTAGTTCTAAACATAAGCCGCGCTCTAACGGCTTTTAATGCTTTGCGTGATGTTTTTGACTAAACTAAAAGGTAATATCTGATATCGAGCACGCATAACACTRCATTAAAAGATAATCTACCAAACAAGAAGTTTCAAACGTATTCATACCGGGTTGACATAACGTCAATTATGGCACTGAAAAGTGTACAAAACGGAGCCAAACCGTCTGTAATACAAATCAAAACACCTCACCGATAAGATATCATGTACAAAAACCATAGATTGCCTTTTAAATGCATCTGATTATTCCTTTGACCTGCCTCACCTTCCTAGTACGGTAATGCTGTCATTTGTATATCAATAATGACGTCATATCATACTACGTCATCATATGTAATGTGTGTGTTTGATGGAGTTYGCAGTAGCTCGCTCASAATAMGACACTTAGTGCAATAAAACTAATCGCCTCATCCCAGACAAAGTGGAATCAACAAAGATCAGTGTCACGATATACAATGAAGACAATTATGAAGTAGTTTCAATATATACCGCATTTTCAATTTTGTTTCTTGAGCGGAGACTCAAATAGTAGCTTCAAAGTAACTTTACGTCTCAGTTGCAATACTTCGTTTATACTAACATCAGTGAGCTAATTGATGGCTTTTCGAGTTGTATTCTACAATATTGCACATAAGTACTTATCAATTTTTCGCTTGCACACGACAAATACTTTATTGTATATATCTAGTGAAAATATTTTGCTCCCCACCCCTCCCCGCTGCATCAATGTTGCAGCAACGGGTGAAGGAATGCCCAGTTATGCAGCGAGGTAAAGATTGATCTACGAAGCTGATGTATATGCCATATTTACGTAAAAATTGTCAACATTTACGTCCAAGATTGTAGTTATCAGTAAAAGTTCAGTCCTCAGTTTTCCCACATTCATCATGCTATATAGCTGGAATCATTTCCGTATATTACGAAACCTTTACGATTGTGGTCCGAATAAGACAGGTGAATTACGACTCRAACACAGTTACGATACGGCGGTAAGATAAGGTCCCACACGTATGAAGTCCACACTTAGCTTAAAGGTTTCCGCTAGTGCATTCATTCATAATCACACGTGCCTCTGATCATATTTAGAATACATGAAAATTATTTCATGCCAAGAATCAATGGAATTACTATAGATTCCAATTTGAGATTCCACAATTTTACTTTATCTTATGTACACTAACAAGCTGAAGTTATCTAAATATGGTTTATTTGGTCACATGACCATTACCATATATATAGTAATTGGTTGGATTTGCATTTATTGGTTTATTTTGAAATGCTCTTCTTTAAAGATACTGAAAGTGAAACTGTTTTATTGCTCTTTTTTGCTTTTAACTTGACAGAATATGGTGCTTGTAACAAAAAAGATAAATAAGTAGAATATTATATAGAGGATAGGAATACAAATAGGGATACTGTCAAAAATGTAAGGGGAAAGGCCAGTCAAACAGGTTTGGCTCAAGTTTAGTTTGGTCTCATCCCGTCCATTGTAGACAAAGATTTGTTTGGCAATTAACAATTTGAAACCGTTCGTGTAGTACAAAGAAATTGCGTTAACGAATCCAGAAAGCTACTGTAATTCTTATTAACGAAAGCAACGGATCCTGCCTTTGGCCAAGAGTACACTACCTAAAGAAGGAAAGTTATCAATTTTCCAGTAAAGCCAGAAATTACCAGATTCGCACTCTCTTTAGAAGTGTTCGTTTCAAAGTAGTTTATGTCACGTCTTTGACACATCACTTGTACTATATTTAGTCAGTCAATAGAAGACTCTAGCTTCTGAAAAACCTAATTAATGGAAGAATTGCCTGAATCAATCATTTAATAGAAAGGAAAAGACATTGCCTAAGGCTGCCGAACTATGTTTTGTTTCAAATAATGTTTTTATCCTTTCAAACATTTTCAAGGAATTATATAATTGAAGAAATTATCTGTTTATGGGTAAACACGTAAATATATATTAAAGCAATGGTTAAAGAAATAATTGAACGAAACGTAATTAATGGKAAGGATACTATTGCAAAATTTAGTTTAATCTAAATTTCCTAATTTCCGACATATTTCGAATTACTTCTTCAAAGTTTAAACCTTAGAACTCTTGAGGTTGTTTTGTAGTTATTAAGTGATTGTTTATGTCAATAAATTTGTAAATACATGACCTTTTCCCTCCCTTTTAGTTTGTACGTGACAGTTTAAACCATATATGACGCTTTATTGAGTCAGTTACTGTGGTGTGATATATCAGCTAGTATTATATATAGCGTGATTATTCCGAGTCTAATACTAAACAAACCACAGCCCTCGTRTGTGCAGAATTACCAGCAGATCGCCTATAGCTTTCCAAATACTAAAAGCTTGTAAAACTAACTTAAGTCCAGTCCCCAAGGCAAGACTATAGGTTCTTATAGTCGACTAGTAGATAACTGAACTCGTGGTTGAAATGCAAACCGACCAATCATTTGTGTAAGTGTATGAATAACACATCAGATATCATACAAAGTGCTTAATACACGAGTAACCTTTTCATATTGTCAATATTGTCTTCACAGGTGATGGCGCGGAATTGAATCTCTACAGAACAGCTTACTCCGAAAATCCTAACTCWACTAAACCTGCACGAGAAAKTTCAACACTGAAGAAATGSGAATCAGAWTCTTAAACGCTAACGACAGGAGTTTAATGCGTACAGTTTTGCTTACATGGATAGTCACGGTCATATCGAGTAATACTGGAAACGTTCAAGCCAAAACGCCTATATATATCGGYGGATTTTTTCCGTTAAGTCCCAACAAGGCCTCCGTACCGGGGTACGCTTTACTCGCCGCGGCGCGGCTGGCTTTAGATCATGTTAGTAAATCCAGTATACTAAGAGACTACGAGTTAAAGATCATCGTCAAAGACTCTCGGGTGAGTTGTTTAAATTAACTYATGGTAATTTTATTGCTTTGTTTATATGAGTAAAATTGGTGTTAAAATTAACGCCCTGGGATAAAATTRTTTTTTTGTTCGTTTGTGTTTTTCCGTGCGCGTCTTATTCACTGATTCTATTTTCGTAATCTTCGAAGTGAACACGAATAGTGTTTTCGGTTGTCAGTTAAATTTAGTTTTATTTTTACGATTACTTCTCGGTTTGTCATCAACAGCTTCCAGCTTTCCGCTTTTGAACATGTAAATTTATTCCATCGTGTCGCTTTCAATTTTCCGTATAGTGCTATGACGTCACTAAATGGCCTCTTTTGACCATATCGCAAGGCCCACTATCACTCTATCGGGACTTTAAAATTCTATTCGTTTGGAAGGAATCATTGCCGCAGCTGTTTTAAATAGTGATGGATATAGAATGTCAATATCTCTAGCAAGAGCTAAAGGTTTTAATACCTAAATGTCTAATATAGCCAAGGGCTTAAAGATATGTCTAAAGCGTATATGAAATCCTTATTTTTTAGCAAATGGTCTATGAAGTGGAAATCGAATACTTTAAGTGCATCTCTTCAAATACAATATTTTTATAATTCTTTTTTGTTTATCGTTATTCCATCGTGTCGAGTTTCGTCGGCAATGTTTTATTTCCTTGTAAAGTTTTAATGTTTCCTTTGGTTGATGATAGCTTAATAAGTATTAATGTTTATGATAGTATAAATGGAAATTTGGCATGATTAAGGCCGAGTATCCCTTTCTTCCATAGTTCTGGATAATGTGTTTGTGTGTACTGTCTATTATTTGTATATGAATGTTGCGTTTTGTAGATAAACACTTGCCTCTGCAGTAATTAAACTGATTTTCACTTATTGTCTATTCCGTTCTTTACTCTCATCAAGATAAATGTATGATTGATGTATTTTTTTTTCTTGAAAATAGCTACTTTCAAATCATACAAAGCCAAAAARAGCACTTCCTTCTCTATGCAACTATCAAATTAAGCTGAGCTCATAACAACTCATATTTAGAATAGAAAAAAAATAATACGAAACTATATCGTTAAAAACTTATTAACTCTTTAATTTGACATATGGCTCGTTAAAAACACATTATAGAATTGTACGTTTTTATGCTATTTGTTCCTAGAAAGCGCAATTAACGTATTATAACTTAATGGTTTCATTCTTCTGTTTATTCATTCATTATTGCATTCATTCATTTGARCTTCCAAATCTCGCCGGAATGTTTTTGATAACAAACTGCCCATGTATACSTTTCCCTACAGGCTTGCAGATTGTAGATGTGACGCCTAAGTCTGTGATTTATATCAGAAAAGAAAACATTTTCATTTCTTTCATCCACATCGTAGCCTGAATGTCCTGTCTGCTATCAAATCGAGCGATAAGTACACCTCGAAGTCTGAAAACGTTAATTTGYTTTCAAGCATTTTGCACCGCTCGATCTCATTTTATATCAGTTTGTCTGGAAATGTAGACTCGTTAAGTAAAAATCATTTTAGTAAATTTGTCGAAATATCATTTCCCAATTTCCCAATCATCACTTGTTGGYCTTTCACTACAGCGTRGGCTTTCAAATGAACGAATTGTTGATTAATTGAGCGATCATCGGCGAGATCAAACGTCCATCTTAATGAMATAAAGTCGGCTTAAGAGAAGATAAATACTACTGAATCTGATAACATTGCTCTATTCGCTTCTTATCGGTTTCTAAACTCTTTTAAAACACTGCTTAGAGCATCAAATTGCCAAAAGCTGATCCCTGGCCATTCACCAATACAACGAATTCGTTTTATTAAATCTACATTCTTTTATCGAAACTCGGTTGACTTAGGATAATATGTTTATTATTGTATTGAGACTTATGCCAATATAAACTCACTCAAGATAAAAGGATTTTTATTGCTCATTTGAATATGAATTGCGGTTYACCCTACCGTTATGGATGTGAATGCAGCGATAACCAGACCGCTTTTTATGATGTAACGATTATCACGTTCCCATTTATTTAAGATTTCTTAACAAGYGAAAAACTATATTTGGTTAGTACAATTAATGCTCAATGGGCTAGCAGTAATAGTGATCGTAAGCGCTTTTTTTATCGTATGACCGCGGCACAAAACATCACCGGGCCCTCGGGCAGCACCTATATACGGGAAACAGCACCGTATCGCGCATGATGTCCGGTATACGAGAACTTATTACACAATTAACGTTTAATCAGCAATCACTGCGCCGGAAATACCTATCCTACGAGAGAACTTTTCTAATTAACTTTACCTTACTCATACAGTTAGCAAGGGGCATCCGTCTAAGAAATAGCGCTATTAATTAGATTTAAAAAAAAAACATCTTAAAAATCAGATGGAACTAGATATTATTTATTATATTGCTTCAAATGCCGTGGCCACGGGTATTAGAATAGTCCGATGTTTGAAATTTCTGGGATAGCTCTTATTGTCCTTTTTTTACGATGGGATTCGTTCTTGTTCCTGGATGAAATTCCGTCTATTTAGGGGTGCTTATTATAGTGGGTCGACATACCACAAATCCACTCATTTCGCTCAGCAAAATCAGCAAATCCGCCACAACCGAGCCATGTTTTCACACACAATGTTTTCAAACCGCCACACAAATGAGAGCAATACCGAAAACTGATCTCTAAAACCAGCAGAAACCACCAACCTATAATATGTCGCCATTTAAGACGGACATGATCGTCGAAACTGTTATGAAATACTTCGACAATATACCAGAGTCTTATACGAAGTTGGGCGTGGCAACTTAAGATTTTTACTAATAAAATTTACCAATTAAAAATGAAAAACTCTATGCGGGGTTCTTGTAGTGTATTTTAGTTCATTTAAAACTCTACGGCCTTGCGTCAATAAGATTAATACCAGACAGAAAACCGATAGCCAGCAGTTTAAAGTAAAGAATGATTTAGCAGGAAGAAAATTGAGTATTTCAAAAAGAGTTCTTAAGATAACGTGTGGTATATCTAATTACAGTGTGATCCAGCWTTCTCTGTTAACATGTTCATGGATCTGATAACGGACGAGAGGGACACGGCTCTAATCCTTGGTGCGGCGTGTTCTGACGTCACCAAACTTTTGGCCGAGTTGTCAGCTTACAGAAATTTGGTCCAGGTAAAGAATAGACGTATTTTTTATGCTTAGCAAGGATTGCCAATATATTTATTGCATTCATTTGCCTTCTTTGTGTCGGCGACACTTTCAGTAGTTTTGTTATGCATTTTTGCACTGATATTTAAATATTATGATACATATTAATTTTTTTATCATATTAATCTCAATTGTTCAATTGTATTTTATTTCATTTCAGATTTCCTATGCATCCCGCTCYCTTGCTCTTTCTAATCGGCGRAAATACCCAACCCTCTTTCGCGCGCTGCCATCAGAGTCTGCGAGAAACATGGCGCGAGTGGCGTTTATYAAGGAGTTTGGGTGGAAAAACATCGCCTTGCTTTACGAGAACACAGGTTCTGATTTGGTAAGCGTGCTCTGAAAGAACTATTTAAGATTCAATTTGTTGAAGAKTAGTCCCTTCTACAACTTGCGACGCCATCTTGAAAAGGTAGGTGTGTCATTCCATCGATGTGAGACGYCATCATCRACTTTTTCACTCYCGYCACAGTGGTTCGYGGGTATCTATCACTGSAGKCTCACCRCARGTYGTCTCACTTCAATTGAAAARCTSTACTATATTTTCAAGATGGTGGAATTAAAACCTTTTTCCACTTTCCATTCTCTGGAATACGTAATATTTAATAATTTTTAATAAAAGTCTTTTATWGKTTTACATTGKTTTTTATTTCCAGGCTTCTCAATCRAATAATCAAGTGATTGACAAGTTGAAGACTCTAAACTGTACCATCGTCCTCTCCGAGCAGACGACCGATAAACAACTCGACATAAATATGAAGATGTTAGTGGTGAGTATTATGGTCTAGTAATGATTATTTAGTAAATATTATGGTATATTCTGAARAGAAAAGTAGCTTTACATGAATTCATCATYATCAKTKTWCTTCACASCRTGTGGTGCATAAGGCCTTTATAGTKYTCCTTAAATGAYTTCACAGCTAATGTAAAATACTTGTTATCAGAGAAAYGATGCACGAATTATTGTTGGCACGTTCTACGAGAAGAAAGCAAGACATATATTTTGTCAGGTCTGTAACTTTCCTTTTAACATGATTGCAATGTTCTTCCTTCACGCGATTCCACGTTTTATATACAAGAGTCATGCCTTTTTTTGTGGGTGTGGCAGGTTGAGGGGAACGGGGGAGGGGGAACCCAACCAAACCATAGCCGTGTATGATGACGGCGTATTGAACTACCCCTTGCATACTCCCCCAGAACTCCCGTGTCACTCATACCGACGTTACAATGCAGGGGTATATCTATCAGGGGTAGAATTATGTGGCTGTAGCCTCGCTTAGGACGATAGATTTGAAACTTCTACRCCAATTATTGCCCAAATCGAATATTTCCGCCATATTGCATATTTCCACCTTACATAAGTGCCACCCAACGATCGGTATTACAGGGCCTCAGTATTACSGAGTAAACAATTATTGATATAGAGGATATTACATGGGACGGATTCTATCTTCGAGTGTTGAAAACGATCTCTCATGAGTCAGCGTAGTGGACTGGGGAGAGATATTCAAGAAAAAAGAAAATCCGTATTTCCAATCGACCATGTAATATTCYGCTTATCATATTTYTACCTTAAATATATAAAGATACTAYCAATGTGTTATTTTCATTTAATAGATACTTATATGATAAAACATTTGTCTTGTTATCAGGCATATCGAACAGGTCTGTACGGTGCCCGGTATGTCTGGCTGTTGATAGGGACTTACAGCCACCAATGGTGGACTGTACGAGATGACGACTTAAAGTGCTCGAAGGAAGAAATGAGAAAAGCCGTTGCTTACTCGTTTATATTCAACAACCAGATTTTCCTCGGCGAGGACAAACAAGGAAACGCTCAACGAGCTATTTCTGGTGTTGTAAGTGCATGGAATATTCTTAGAATTACAGTCCAGTCGGGAATAGCCTCGTTTCCTAGGATACCCGAAAACAATAGAATAAATTTACGAATAAATTGGAGACTATTTCCGCCTGTACAAGAAGTTAAAGAATGGTCAATAAGTGTTTTTCAGTTGCATATTCACGCAGCCATGTTGGATTRTAGAAACAAGGGGACATTTTCGCATCAGAAAAGAAACTTAATTGATATATTTTTGCACGCTTGGCAAAGGAGTATTATTCTACAGATTCTATCATCAAACATGGCTGTCTGCGTCTTATCCGATTTCGTTAAATGTAAAACCTTGTTTATTTTTACTGTAATAGTATATTTGTAGTATTTTGAGATGTTATTGTAACTTCTTCTTTAAGTGCTACAAGTGTTATACTCAGAAAAATAGCAAAAAACCGGATTTGCACTGATACTTAATCTCTCGAGATTCAAGTATCATCTAAAACAAAGATTTCACTAAAAATATATTCATTTCAATATTATTGCACTTAAAAGTATATTTATACTTTTAGGTTCCCAATAGACATAAGTACAAATTAGAAATAATGTGAACATAGAAAAAAAA